AGGGTTTCTCTTGGGTTGCAAAATACGTTAGCTTAGAGAAATTACACAAATACTAAAAACTGGAAAAAATTCAAAAAAGAAATACAATCCAAAAGACCCCTCCTCTCAGAGTTAACTTTAAGTGCAAACTGACATTTTGACAAAGGGCATAATGCTTTGTGACTATCTCTTCATTAAAGAGTATATAGTGAAAATCTTTATTGGTAAATATGTTTTAATAATGTTTCCCTTATGTCCACGATGATAACATAATTAAGAAGTTTACAAGTTCAAAGAAAGAAAATATCTAGACATAAATAAAAAATGTGCAGAGACTATATGAAGGAAACTATAGAACTTAACTGAACAATAGTTTAAGATTTGAGTAATAAGAGGTACAAATCATTTTCCTGAATAAAAAGATGAAGTATATTATGGTACAACATTCCAAACAAAATTTCTACAAAGTTCTGTGTTTTCACATTTTTTATTCTGTTGCTAGAATAAATGTAAATTTTATGTGGAATGATGGGAAGAGCCAAACATTTTGTGAAAATGCAGACTAAATCTCAACTGAAGATGTATCTTTAATGGCTATAATAATCTAAATATTTTAGCTAAGTCAGGAAAAAAACATGTAAAGTCCTAAGATTGTGTAAGAATTTAGTATGTGATAATGGTGATGTTTCAAAGCAGTGGAAAGAAATGGGCCTATTCAATAATTGGTGTTGGGGCAACTGGTTCTCTCTCAAGATAGCATAATAAGAGATGTTTATCTCACATATTACAAAGAATATATTTTTGTGTGGATTCTTAATTGAAATATAAAATTTAAACTATCAAAGTATTCAAAATATAAGAATTTCATAATTTTAATGTTAAGAATGCATGACACCAATTGCAGAGACAAAAAAATCATTTAAAAGTTTGAATTTATGAAACCTAAACTTAAAAAATCCTCCCAGGGGCCGGCCCAGATCCCGAGTGCGCACCGACACACTGCTTGGCAGGCCACACTATGGTGGCATCCCATATAAAGTGGAGGAGATGGGCATGGATGTTAGCCCACGGCCAGCCTTCCTCAACAAAAAGAGGAGGATTGGCAGATGTTAGCTCAGGGCCAATCTTTCTCACAAAAAAAAAAAAAATCCTCCCATAGGCAAATTTTAGAGTACACTCCAAAAAAATGAGAAAGGATATCATGTTGATATGAAATAATATATAGAGTAAAAAAAGCAGTTATGTACAATTCTCCTTGTTGCAAAAAGAGGTAAGAAATATATTTAGATTCTTATTACAAACAGCACATAAACCAAGAAAATATTGTAATAATCTTAGACCAGCTATTATAAAATGATGAGCACCTCAATTAAAATGAGGCTAAGTATATGAGCCAATGTAAGAAAGAAACTGAAGATGAACAATCAATAAATAGTGTTAATTTGCTCAATGTCTCCAGAAAATCAATTTAAGAAATATTTTATTATGTCATATAAATAAAGTTGGAAAAAACTGTAAAAGAATAGGATCCACTGTGGGAATGGGTTAGAGAACCCACATTTCCAAACTTTGGATGGGAGTGAAATTCATTCAGCCTTTCTGGAGTCAATTTCATCAGAACTGAAAATGAACTTACCTTTTAATCCAGAAATACACTTTTAGAAAGAAATTCTAAGAAGAAAACTTGGACCAGTGTAGAAAGATGTATGCTCAAAGGTGTTCCTCCACAATGTTATTTATGAAAGTAAAAATATTGGAAGCCACCTAAGTGAGCATTGATAGGATACAGGTAAAATGGTACTGATTCATAAGATGGAATTCTAGGTAGTCATTAAAAATGATCATGTAAGGGCAGAAAAACTAATATGGAAATATGTTAATCACATATTGTGAAATAAAAAATGGAGTTTACAATATATATATTATCCTAATGTTGTGTGTGTATATCCAAAAAGAACACAAATATAAGAAGCCAAACCAAACCAACCCAAACACCACAGATAAAACTACAACCCACCTTCAGATAACAGTAGGGAGCAGTATTTTTTTTTCCCACCAATTTTCCCATATAAGTAAAATTGAAGAACACATTTCAGAGAGAGTAAGTCTATAACTCCTGTGGTATAGCAAAGCCACTTTATTTATATTTTATGAGCATTATTATTTTCACATCATTACCTACTAAATTAACTGCATGGTGTTTCAGGGTTAAAGTTCTTCACAGCCTTCCATGGTTATCTGACTGCTCTTCTAAAGTTACTGATATTCAGATATGTTTTTCATCACTACCACTAATATTGTCAGTTTTAAAACTCTTGGATACATTTTACAGGGATTTAAAAATTTTTTTTTTTTTTTTTTTT